TCCTACTCCTCGTTAGCTGGTAGAGGAACCTTCAGCTTATGACTTCTACTATAAAAAGATAGACTACTGAATGGTAAATACTTTGCCATCTGAAACCATCAGAAACCCTTGCTTATGTGCAGCCCTGGTCTACAGGTTTAGCTGAAGCTTTTTAGTGCTGACACTAGTAAATAAGAAAGGAAATAAGACAGGGGTGTCGGGAAATATTTATCTGGTTGTTATGGAGACAGAGCAAGCCATCACAACAGTATTCTTTGCTTTCATCTGTCAAGCTTGAGCTTGACAGAGCCTTCAGAGACACTCAATGTCCACCCTAAAGATGAAACAGAGCAAAAATGTTGTTTTAAATTTGATAGGTTTTTGGCTCAAGTTAAAACCATTCTGTAACTCAGAGCATTTGCCACCGGCTCCCAGCAAGCCTCTCTCTCGGGGCTGAGACTCCACAGAAAAGGTCACTAAATGCACCGCCCAGGGGTGGACAGTGCTGAGGGGAGCTAAGGCCCCCACGGATGTCACAGGGCCACTCCCTGGCTTTGCGGGCTCTCATGTCCTCCTGTTCCACTCTGTGGCCTCGCTGAGCGTGGGGCACAGAAGGCAAGAGGGTTTGGAGGGTCCCGTCTATTCCTGGCTGAACAGGACTGGGATCCATGTGTGCTCAGCGGAGGGGTGCCTCAGAAGAAGGCAGCGGCTGGGACTTTAGCTAAAGATTTTTTTCTCAGACTCTTCCAGCTCAAGAAGTTCACAGGCAGCCAGCTCCCCAGGCCTGGACAGAGAATCTTCAGTTCCCTATGGCTACTACCCCATAAATCAAACAGAAATGAATGGATCCTTCCACCAGGCCCATGAATCAGAGACTCCCATGGGACACAGTGCCAGGACGCTTGGAGGTGCCTGGCCCATGGAGTGTGATCACTTCAGATCTGAGAGGAACGTGGAGGACTCCCAGTCACATCTACTCACTGGGGCCCCTGTTGGAGGGCCACTGACAGAAGGAAGGTTCTAGACACAAACACTTAGCTTTCCTAGCCACACATGAATGGAAAGGAATCTTACACTCTTTTGAGACAGGCTCTCACTACGTTGACGTGACTAGCCCGGAACTCAGAAGCCTTCTCCCTCGGCCTCCTCACGTTGGAAATCACAGGCAGCCTGCGCCACCACACTCACAAAGGATCTGAATGGCCTCGTTGACAGACTTCCCTGCATTCTGTGGATACACAGTGCCCGTGTCTGTCTTGTCGACTCCTACCAGCGCGCTGCAGCTCCTAGCTCCCGCTGTACGGTCTCCACTGTTAGGCAGTTCTCCTAGCCTGGCTTCACGTGTCCTAAGCTATGTATGCCTCTAAGGGGCCTGACCCAGCACCTACGTGACGTGGCAGTCCTGTCCCTATGGCTGTGCTCATTCTTCTTGTTTTTCAGTTGTATCATGGGTGTGCCCTAACGCCTGTGGAGGCCAGAAGTGCCTGAAGTATCCAGGTAAGGGGTTCCCTGTTAAACAGAGTGACAGACGGTTGTGAGTCACCAAGTGGGTGCTGGGAGTCTTCCTCAGGAAGAGCCAGTGCTCTTAACCACTGAGCCACCTTTCCAGCCCCTGTGTTCATTGTTCTTTCATTTTTTATTGTTTTCGAAACAGGCTCTCATATAGCCCAGGTGAGCCTCAAACTCCCTCTGTAGCTGGGAATAAACCTCAACTTCCAATTCTCCGGCCAACACCTCCTAAGTCAGTGATTGCAGGTGTGCGCGGCCACTGCCGGTTCACAGTGTTGGGAACTGAGCCCAGGGCCTTTGGTGTGCTAGGAAAACCCTCTGCCAACTGAGCTACCTGCTCTAGGCCCCTGTCCTATCATTCCAGGTAGGTTTTCTTCTCTTCCTGTAAGTCAGCCATTTAAAATGGGGTGAGAGAGAAGACACTGAGCCATGTCTGCCCATAGGGAAAAGAAGCCACTGAAGCCAGAAGGCCACGGTCTCCAGGGCTCAGTCATCCCCTGCTCCCTACAAATGTGGAGACCCAGCATTAAGGGCTGAGTGTTCGGGGTCCTTCCTGCTCTGGGAAAACTTCCCAGTGTGATCTGAGAGGGATGTGCATGTATGGAAACCACAGAGGGCCTAAAATGCAGTTGTGATGGGATGCTGTAGCTCAGCTGACAGTTACTTGCTTAGCTTGCATTCCACACAAACTAGGCATGCTTGTAATTCCAGCAGCTGGGAGCTAGAGGCGGAGGGATTAGAAGTTCAAGGCCATCCTCAGCTGCACAGAGTGTGTGAGGCCAGGGTAGGACCCATGAAACAGTGTCTCAAAAATAAATAATAAAAATACAATTAAGGCAGTTTACACACATATACACATATGCACACTAATTACTACAAAGCTAGGCTCTGGCCCTAAGGAGAACATAAAAATTAGCCATATTCCTGCTGCCTTCTCCTCCCCTGCTGCAAAGAGAATATGCTGGGCGATGTGTACCCTCTGAGAACTGCCTACAGGAGTCACAGAGGGAGAATGAAGTATCCCTTCCCTACCGTATGCTGTTCAAAGAGACTACACCCCCAAAAGCAGAATGTCAGGCCCCACGGAAGGTGAGGTGAGGAGAAAAACACCAAGGCCCTCCTGGAGAACTCTGGAGGGCCCCGAGCAGAGCCCATTTAGGCATGTGGGCGTCTGTTGAAGGGGGCTATCCAACCTCCCCACTCAGCAATCTGCCCAGGGGAGAGGCAGGTGGCTTGTGCTCTTTTCTAGATACTCTGGCAGAACCTCTCCCCAGCTTTTCTAAAAGCCCGAGTCCAGGCTGCCCCTTAGTCACTGAGTAACCCTATCCCTGTCTTTTCTTTCAGCGCACTGACTAGAAAATTCAGTCAGTATGGTGCTTGGTTGGCCTGCTCAGCTCCGGCTGCACTACTGACCTTAGGTATTTTCTCCAGCTTGGCCTGCCCTGGTCTAACATCTTCACCCCAAGGAGGTCCCTTAGGAGGTCCCCAACTCCACTCCTGGCAGGTGCTCGGTTTATTTAGCTGGTCTCCAATTCTTGCCAAGGCCTTTCTGAAATCCATCTTTTCTTCCTCCCCGAAATCCAGCCTTGAAAATCCAAGTGAATGGAGGCTTTGGGGGAAAGGGAGGGGGGGGGCTTCCAGAACATGGAGATAGTTACCACAGAGCCGATGAAATCTGATCCTGGTCACTAAAGAGTTATTACTCATCTTCAGCTTCCAGGGCCCCAACATTGAGAACTCTCTGTCTGAATTCCCCAGTGCCCAGGCGCTTGGAGAGCTGCCCAGCTCTGAGCACCAGCTGCAGGCTGAAGACAGGGCCTGCTTCCTGAGCTGACAGAAGTGCATAGGGAACACAATAATGGTGACATTTAAAAGTGAATAGAGAGCTCAGACATGAGGTGGGGGCTCTTGGGGAATAGCCAGATGGCAACTGTCCAAAAGGAGCATCATAAAGGTACCAGATGGCTGCAGTGGAGGCCAGGGCTGGAAGCTACCACACCCCCACACTGATGAATTCCACGCTGAAACATGCTGTCCTTTCCATTCTTCTGTCCCCTTTCTTCTTCCCCGCTTTTGTTCCCTGAAGCTCAGTGCCACATCTCCTCTCCCAAGCACAGACGGTTCTGGCAAGTCTTCCACTGGACTTCTCCGGTGGCCCCCACTATTTTGGCTACCTGGCGGCCCTCTTCTTGCACTTTCGTGGAGTGGTGGTGACCGCGCATGTTCCCAGGCCTCAAAAGCTCCAGGTCAGTGTTTTGGAGAAAAAGAATGGCTTACATACACTCATCGTGTGAGCGCGCATGTGTGCAAGTGGGTGTGCACACGTGCAGGGAACTCAGAGAACAGCTTTGCAGGAGCTGGTTCCGTCCTTGCTCCATGTGGGCCCTGGGGATTGAACTCAGGTTGTCTAGCTTGGTGGCAGGCTCCTTTGTCTGCTGAGCCCCTCAGTAGTTTTGTTTTGAGACAAGGTCTTACTATGTGGCCCATGTGGCCCTGAACTCACAGAGATCTGCTGGCCTCTGCCTCCACAGTGCTGGGATTAAAGGCCTGAAATGGCAAAGATGCAAGGGCTGTTTTCTCTGCTAGAAGTTCAGGATCAATCCAGATTTTTTTTTTTTTGTTGTTGCTATTTAAAAATTTTTTTAAAAGATTTATTTATTTATTTATTTATACATTATTCTGTCTGCATATGTGACTGCAAGCCAGAAGAGGGCACGGGTTCTCATTATAGATGGTTGTGAGCCACCATGTGGTTATTGGGAATTGACACTCAGGACCTTTGGAAGAACAGCCAGTGCTCCTAACCTCTGAGCCGTCTCTCCAGCCCACAATACTGGGTTTTTGAGTAAGAGAATCTGTTCACTGGGATACGGACGGCATCGTAGGGGCAGGTGTGTGTGTGTGTGTGTGTGATTTGCCTGGTTTGGTTTAATAACAGACAGGAAAGCAGTGTCTTGGGTAAGTCTGTACTCTTCCAGCACTCTTGTGGTCTTTCCCTGAGCTGTCTCTTGTCCTCTCTGTCTGCTCATCTCTTCCTGAGGGAGCTGCCTCACACTTCCCAACAGTGCCATGTTCAGCCTCTGCTGGCCCCTTGCCTTCGCGCAGACACCTCCTACAGCAAGCTCCTGATCTTAGCACTAAGGCAGTCTGTCCCACCTTGGAGACGAGTGCCTTCTGTCATCTCCTGACTTTGCTGATGTAACAAGCCCTCCCAACATGGCGCCCTGGTCTGCTTACTTTCTGGTTCCCCCAATGGAATGAGAACTGTGGAGGACAGGTGTACACAGCTTTCACCTCAGTTTCCTTCACATACAAGAGAGTTCCTAGCCCACAGTGAAACACATGGGAAGCAGGCCAAATGCCACACAGGCACGTGCAGCACACAGCCCTACCTCCCTTTACACCATGAGCGAGCCTCACCGGCCTCTCAGGAAGCCAGTCTCTACACCCTTGAGAGACTAAGGCCCAGAACCATTTACTCATATTACGGGGAAGCAGCAGGGCTTGTGTACCTGAGTTTGTCTGCGATGAAGATGACCCTCCTTTCCAGAAGCAGGGAGGCAAAAACACTAACCAAGTGCCGGACGCTGAGGGAGGAGAACAGAGACTCAAAGTCCACATGCTCTAGCCGGGAGTCCATCGGGCGGCACAGTTCAATCACCTGCCAGGGAACAGTGGCAGCCATGAAGGTGGGCTTACACAGCAGGCCTCCCTGGGGGCTCTGGGAGCCTTTGCAGAGGTGACCCACTAGCATGGCAAAGGGAAAGAAAAAGGAGGAAAACAAGAGGGAGTGGGGAAGAGGTGCACTGTAGTAGCAAACACCTCACACTCAGTTGAGGACAGTTTGGACAAAGGAGACAAGGAAAATGGATAGTAGAGTCCATGGTCCTTGGCCATATTAGGAAGCTCCTCCTGGAAGAGAGTATCTGGACGGCGCTTAGACATTTAATGCTGAAAACTGACCTAGCCTCAGAATCCTAGAGAAAATCCTGCCCCCCGGAGGCCTGTTTCTGCTGGAAGAAAACCCCAGGCCTATGCATGTAGCCCAGGCTGGCTTCAAATTTTTTATGTAGTTTAGGCTCGTCTTGAACTTTCTATTTATTTACTCATTATCATGTCTGTGTGTGATGTGTGTATGAGCACAGGTAAACATGTGCCAAGGCACATACATGTATGGAGGTCAGAGGACAACCTTCAGGAGTCATTTCTCCCTTTCTACCACAGGTTCCAGAGATCAAACTCAAGTCACTGGCTTGAGTAGCTGCTGTTTAAAGAAATACATTTTATGTGCATGAATGTGGTGCCCACAGCAGCCGTTTGATCCTCTGGAACTAGAGTTACGGATGGCTGCGAACAACCATGTGCGTGCTGGGAATTGAACCTGGGTCCTCTGGAAGAGCAGCCAGTGCACTTAACTACTGACCCATCTCTCCAGCCCCACAGAGACCTTGAATTCTTGATTCTTCTGCCTCCATCTTCCACAGGCTGGGATCACAGGGTGTGCGCCACTGTGCCTAGCAGTTCCAATTACGTCCATGGGTTTCCCTAGTTTTAAAGCTTTCTGTGTTTATCGTCTTGTCCCTTATTTGCCAGTGAGATCCTGGATTTATCTCAAGCTGCCTGTGTGAGTTTCCAAGTTTCTCCGCGAAGAGCAGACTTCAGCACAGCGACATGAGTGGAGACTAGCAGCCACTGAGTCCTCTCACCACACTGGGCCTCGCTCCTAACCTCCAGCTACAATCCCACGGCCAAGCTACTACAGCTGTATGGGTCCCCATCACCTGCTCAGTGCTGGAAAACTGAGCTGATCTGCCATGTCCCTGATGCGTTCGCCTCCTCTGGGTCTAGGAGGAACTGGTTTACAGCAGAGATCCAAGGCTGGAAGAGACCAGCATTCTGAGGTTTACAGCGCTATATATATGATGTGGAAAAGAAAGACGAAAACAACTTCCTCATCAGGTCCCAGGTCCCAACTTAAGGGCCGGCTTTGAAGGCTAGGGTAAATATTAAGAACATTCCAACTTACAAAGTTACACTGCGATGCAGACCCAAAATGTGAACAGTGACTGAAGACGGATTATGGGCAGCAAAAAGAAGCCAAGGATGCACAGTGCCTGTCTCCAGAAAAAGCCCACGCTGGACACCGTGGCTCTTGGGGGTTGCTCCCTCGAGCGGGGCCTGGGCTGGACAGACTAGACTGGGAGCGCTGTGACGAGGAGAGATAAAGGGTGCACAACCCGGAACTGGATGCCCCGCTGAAAGACGCAGCCTCTCCAGCCGCAGGGACTTGCCTGGCCGGACCACCTCTTGCTTACCTCAGTCCCCGAGCCTGGCAGGAAGGTCTTGACAGTGATAGTTTTGCCCAGGGCTGGGAAAGGGGCTTCCATGACACTCCTCATGAGAGGCTGCACCAGAGCAGGGGAGATTTCTCTTCTCTTTTCCACCTCGTCCAAGATCTATGAGAGTAAGAAAAGCAGCCAGCTCTTCTGAAGTCAGGAGGCCAAGGTGTGCGCAGATCTGATACGGTGGGCCTGCCACAGTGACTCAAAAATTAGGGGGTAGAAGGGGAGTTCATGAGGAGCTACTGGCAGCTGCTGGCTTCAGGGGAAAGGAAAGTTAGTTTTCTTTAAGGGAGTGGCTGGCCCACATTCTAGGCATGGCTCCATACTCATGAGCATGCGTATGTATCGTATGTATTCTATATGTACATATGTAATATATGGATTATATCTATGATACAAACTGAACATAGCAGTTACTAAAACCAAGAGGGCTGGAGAAATGACTCAGTGGTTAAGAACACTGACTGCTCTTTTGAAGGACAGGACCTGAGTTTGATTCTCAGCACCCACATGGGAGCTCACAGCTATCCTTAACTCCAGTCCAAAGAATCTCTTACCCTCTTTCAGCTCCACGGGGACTGCATGCACACGGTACACAGAAAATACATGACAAAAATCCCATTTATGTAAGATAAGTAAGTCCTAAAAACCATTTAAAAAAATTTAGCCTTGTGGCACATGCCTTTAACCCAAGCACTCCAGAGGCAGAGGCAGGCAAACTTCTGACTTAGAGGCCACCCTGGTCTATATAAGGAGTTCCAGGTCAGCAAGGGCCACACAGTAAGCATAAACAAATGAACAAACAATTACAAAGACTACATGAAGTTGAGGGCAGGGTGGGAAACAGAGGTTGATCTCAGGAGGAGTTAGCAGGAGAAAGGGGAATGAATATGAAAAAAAAAAAA